ATTAAAATCCAAAAAGAAAGTTTCACGAGTAGAATGCGTGATAAAGCTAGCAGCTATTCTGAAATTCTGAAGTTGAATCTAAAACCACGTGTAACACTACCTACATTGCGTATGACTGACCTGCTGTTCAGTTTTATAGCACTGTCTCAACTATTCGATGTAAATTGGCCCTTAGATTCTAGTAATTCACACCTTTAAAATAATTAGAATCACTTTGCCTTAACATACTTAGCATTTCACTATAAGATAGCTTTCTGGGGCATTTTTAGTACCTCTTTAGCTTTTTCAGAAGTTGCCCTGGTAGCTAGATACTGTGCTTTCTAAGGCTGAAGGATTTTCATGGATTGCTTTCACAATGTTCTTGAATGTTCCCATACTTTAGAGCTACCAAAGTCTTGACATTTCAGAAATGCTTTAACTGATGTGTAGTGACTCTTCTTAATCTACTAATGCTTTTGCATAATATAATTTTGATCTCTGACAAAATTTTTAAATAAAATTACATTATCTAATGCTAACTAAACAAAACCAAGGGGTTTTAATGCAAACAAATTTATCCTCTTTTTTTTAGTTAGCAAAATGAGTCTTAATCTTTTTCAGCTACAACTGTTACACTTGTTAAGCTGTAGTTCTTTCTTCGTTTATGAAATTCATCCTTGCTCATTAAGTTGTGTTGAAGCAACTTGATTGTGTTACTGGCATAGAGATCTTTTGACCTGTGCCACTTCTGGTTTTCTGTCTGAAAGGTTTATTAAAATCGCTAAAACTGCTGTAAAAATGTAGTGGGTTGTGGTGTGTGGTTTTTTTGGTTTTGGGTTTGGTTGGGTTTTTTTTTCTTGTTGACAAAGGGATGCTTCAGTGGTATATAATGAGAATAATTTAAACTTAAAATTACTCTCAAGGATGGCGTATTTCATCTCATATCTTACTGCATGGGAATTTTATAAAAGATAGGAAATGTTTGCAAGGTATTTTGCTGCCCTCTCTTGGTAGAGCATTTGTATCATAAGCAAAGTGCTCAACTTGTTCATGGTTTTTATTTGTACATTTTAAAAAATTCTGGTTTTATTCCTTTATTTCCTGAAGAAATGAAAAATGAGGATTCTTTTACAAAAATAAAAAATTAAATACTGAGTTACTCAATATTTATCTATGAGAACTTTTTCATTTAGGTCCTGTGTCGGTGAAAATAGTTACCTCACTGCCATTTATCTGTATCTTAGTAGACAGCCAATACAGTTTGATAGTGTTGATTGCTGACAGAAATATTTTTTGCCTCAGATGAAGGTTAAATCGTATAAATGCTTAGGTACATTTTGTTATGACATGTGGGCATTGTGTGTCTTTATAGCTCTCTGAAGAGGAGGAAAACCCCAAGTGAGCCTCAGGAACATGTTCATGCATATCAGGAGAACTAGTCAATCCCAACAAACAGTTTGATTTAGACATACATCTTATGCCTTAGCTAAAATTGCATGTGATTACATGCTATAGAGAGACAGAGTATACATTTATATATAGTCTCATTGTCTGTGTCTCCCTCCTCCCCTCCTTGTATATAGTACATACATACGCACACATGTGGACATACCCCTCTCGATAGTTAGAAAAGCTTTAAGTAAAAACTAATAAAAATCCCAACCCTTCTGGGCCAGGGCAAACACCTGGAACACTTCCCCCTCCTACTCTCCAGTCCTCTGGGCATTTTTGGTTCAACAGCTTCTTGTGCATGATGCAATTTCTGTTTTCTAAATGACCTTCCATGGTGGGTTTTTTTTTTTTTCCTTCTGTGGGCTTTTTCCTCCTCTTTCTTTGAATAAGTCTGGCAAGGAGTTCCACAGCTCGCCTGCCTGATATGCAGAGGTGCTCGCTTGCTTGCTTATTTATTTATTTATTTATTTATTTTAATTTTTTGAGCTTTGCTATTACTAGTTGCATTGACTCTTTCCTCCCAACTGTTGTATTAGGATGTCCTCATCACTCAGGATTTTATAGACTTCCAGTTGTCTTTTCCACAATGCAGAATTCCAGCTTTAGTTATTTTTTGAATGGAAACTGGTACATTTGATCATAGTGTTGGTGCTCTTTGAACCTTTTCAGTTCTGCTGTTTTCCATCTTTTTTGAGATGCGAACAGAGATGCAGGGTTTGTGAAGAAGATGATGGTATTTTCTATAATGCTCTGTAATCCTTTCTTAATGTGTAGCATCTGGTTTATGTTTTTGAACAGAACATGTCAATGAATGGATTTTGTCATAGAACTGTCTGTCATAACCCTAATATCTCACTCCCAAGTCAGTAGTCAACTCATAGTCCAGCATTTTATATATGAATTTAGCAGATTTCCCCTCTCTCCCCTGCATCACTTCAGTTATATCTCAGTTGAGTTTTATTTGCCAGTTTTATTGCCCAGTTACTTGGAATTAGAAGATCCGTCAGTAGTTCTTCATAATCAGTCGTCATCCTTGCTATCCTAAATAACTTAATATTAAGGAGCTTAGTCAAGACCACCTCACTGTTTCTTTTCCAGGTTGCTTATGAAAATATGAAATGGCACAGATCTCGCTATGGTTTGTTGCAGAACTGCCTCAGTGACACTGCTCTTATGTGAGAAGTGAGCTATATCGAGGTTCTGAAGAACTTAAGAAAAAGAAAATTTAAATATCTGACAGCTGCTCGATGTGTTATTAAACCCAGTGAATTGATACTTTCTAATTTCATAAACTATAAACATCTCATGTTATATTTAACCTCAAGTGCCTTATCTGCATATTAGTTTTAGGATTAACAGTGTGTACATTTCTAGGTAGAATATGCTAGCTTCTGGCAAATGAATGAAAAGGAATGAACAAAATAAACAGAAGCTGCTTTGGAGTCTCTAAATGTCGTTTCCTGCTCTGAATAGCCTTTTAGCTACAAACATCTGTGCATCCATCTCTCCTTTACAAAAAAAGAGCCTAAGATGACCAAGCTGAAGTTATTCATGATGAAAACCCTGCTTTCCTCTAATAACAGATTTTATCTGAGGGAGAAAGAGCGCATAATAAAACTAGTTTTGTACAATACAGAGCAAGCAAACGTAATGCCAAAAATATTTTTAATATCCCTTTTGGAGCTTAAATTTCTGTGGTTTATATTGTATTCTCTTGATATTTTGTAGAAATCCTCTACTGGTTCCAAGTATGTATCAGTCAATCACCAGAATTTTTGGTGGTTTTCAGAGGCTAAAAATCAAGCATTTAGGAAGCTGAGCTGCAGCCCTAATTTCTTAATGACTGCTATTACAACTTTGTTATATGGGAGAACAGGAGCTGACGGAAGAACTGATACAGGAGCAGAACTGTTTTGCAGCTTCTGAGGATGTTGGGTAACAAGTTCAGTAGGGAAAAGTCCTTTTGCTGTACATAACTGGAACTTAATTGCTTATAGCAATTATGAAATTTCAGTATTTTACAGGTTTGTTTTTTTTTTTTGGTTGGTTTTTAATGGAGAAGCATTGTTCTGGAAGAGGATAGACTTCAACAGTGATAGTGTATGAGCTGGGGTTTCCAGTTATACCAGTATTTTCTGAGCATAAATAGGAATGAAATAGCTGAAGTTCCCTTCATTTTCAGGCTTCAGTTTTACATGGCTCTAAGCATATAGTATAGAATTACTAATGACCTTTCCAAATAAGATTGCCCAGTGGCAGTCTATAGAAAGCACGTATTTAGTAGCTTAAGGTGTCAACATTTAGGTCTCCTTTTTACGTTATAGCTAAAAGCTCCCTGTGCTTTGAGAAGCTATCTTCAGTTTGCATCTGAAGCATGGCAGAAAAAAAATGGCTGTGTGCTTTATATACAAGTTTTTCTTTTTAAATGTAATGATTTTTTCTGAAAATAAGAATTCAAATGGAGGATGATAACTAACAACATTTTCAGTGATACATACTGACAGGAACATACTGGCCACAGCTTTGACGAGGATCCGCCTAATTTTTGTTTTAGTAGTGAGCTCCCCCCAAGAGATGAAAAAACTTTGAAAATCAAAGCTATATTTTAGCCAACTAGAAACATGTATTTTTTTTTTTAATATAATGTTAAAAAAAAAAAGAAAACCTAAAGAAAATACAAAACAAGTTGAGGAAAAAAAGCAAAAGGGTTGTGTACAGCTTTTCCAACTGTATTTTTGCAGGAAAGTTCTTTCTTTCAGCCAGCCTAGTAGCTTTGTCGGCAAATTTTGCATGATTCCTTCTTACCCTTAGGAAGTTCTTTATATCTCCTCTGCCTGGCTTTTACTTGTTTTCCCCCTTTCCACATCTTCCCCCTCTCTGCTTTCCTTTGCAAAGACTCCCATGAGCTGGAAACCCTGCCAGCTCCCTGCAGTGTTTCCCTGGCTGCTGCACCCTGGATTTTTTTCTGACCATGTCCAGTTTTCCCCTGCCTTCAAGGGTGTTCTCGTCTCGATGCCAGTTAAGTTGTATGTGCATGTAGTAGTATGCAGGTGGAGAGGGACATGGATACATTTTGATGCTTCTGTAAAATTTGGATAAATACTAGCTGACTAGTTTATGTGAAAACCATAATTTGTTTAGGGGCGGGCTTTTTTGATGACTATTTGTGTTACTTCTATTTCACTCTACTTTTATTCACTGCTTCAAGTATAGAATACTGTGCAAAGAACAAATGTAACTCCATATCCCAAACTGGGAAGATTGCATCAGTTAGTAAATTACCAGCAACAGCTTTCTGTTCTTACCTCTTGAAAGCTGCCTTTCAGAATGTTAATTAAGAGGAAATTTGATATAGGATTCTTTTTACTGTAAGCATAATACAACTATTATCCAGCTCAGAAAAATAACATGTAGAATTAAGAATTTTATGTAGGTACAAATGCTGTGCTTTTATTCTCGCTGGTGCAAAGATTGTTGATTAGTTTATCTCTTCTTGTCCTTGTAACAGTTGCTTGATATTTTTGATTTTTGCTTTGCACTTAGTCTTTTTCCTTTTTTCACGATTGTAGACAGTTGCAAGAGCAACAGAGGCAGAAGGAGCTGGAACGGGAGAGGCTGGATCGTGAACGAATGGAACGGGAGAGGCTGGAGAGAGAGAGGCTAGAAAGGGAAAGACTTGAAAGAGAGCGCCTAGAACAGGAACAACTGGAGAGAGAACGGCAAGAAAGGGAACGGCAAGAACGCCTAGAAAGGGAGAGACAAGAGAAGGAGAGGCAGGATCGAGAAAGACTTGAACGACTTGAACGGGAAAGGCAAGAAAGAGAACGGCAAGAACAGTTGGAAAGGGAACAATTGGAATGGGAAAGAGAGAGAAGAATTTCAAATGCTGGTAAGAATTTCAAAACTGAGCGTATTCAAGTATCAGACCACTCTTTATGTGTTTGGGTGATGGAGTGGGAGAGAAGCAATAAAGGGCAGTGAGTACAGTTGTGCAACAACAGTCAGTATTTCAGGCTTCTATTTGCTGGAATTGCTTCCTTTTTTATGGCAAGAAGTCCAAGATCTTTGACTTTCCTGTCGTAATTTTCCATTAACTCTGAAATGATTTTTTTGGTACTATTTGCACACTCCATTGCCGTACTCTCTGATCACTTGAAGAACCTGAATCATGTTGGGCACCTCCAGCATTGGTTAAAGTATGATGAGTTAAAATTACTAAATACCTTATCATTATTTGCTCTATTAAACAAGATGTATCCTCATTACATAATTTGGAAAAAAAAACCCAAACCCAAACATATCAGGTTGAGTGTGTTAAGGCAAAGTAACAGTGTGAGAAATGCCTTTCGGTATGAAGTTTTGCTTAATTTATCATTGTAGTAACATTTCAGTGAAATGTATTATATGTATTTGTAGATAAGGTAATGCACTGCCTGCGGAAATGTATCCAGCGATAACTGAAAGCGTTCTCATTTTGGTAATATAATGGAACATTTGTCAAGCACTTGGTTGTTCTTTAGTAACAAACTCAATTTACATAAGAAGTCAGCTCATGGTAAATGTCAAGGAATACTACGTAAGAGCTAGTCACTTTAGAGCAGAGGATTTTATTGGTAGTTTTATTCCCAGTACTTTCAAGTTTGCGATGGAGCTTTTTCTGGGGAAGAGAAAGATGATACTTACCTGCTGCCTATGGTATGAGTTTTGTTAGTGGAGTTGTAACAAATGTTAAGATCACTACACTTGCTTGCACTTTGCAACCAAACAAGAAGTTAAAAGCTGATAAAAGACTCATTAATAAACCCTGTATCTAATCCATCTCACAGATGGGATTTGAGAAAACTTGCTCTAGAACGTACTTGTAAATTCAAATGTTGGCACAAAAATAGTTGGTAAAATTTAAAAGCAGCTGTTGATAATATGTAAAACTTTCCTAACAGTATTTTCACTTGTGCCTAATCCTCTGGTACTAACTGTAGTCTACGTTTATACATTTTGTTTGAATGCTGGTTTTGTTGCTTCATTAGCTCCCTTTTTCTCTTTCTCCTTTTTTTATCCTGCCTTTGCTGCTGCTTTCCATCTTCTGTCCAGCTCCATCTTTCGACAACTCCCCGTATAGCACTCCACTTCCTGAATACTCCAGTTGCCAGCCTCCTTCAGCACCTCCTCCATCATATGCAAAAGCAGTCTCAGCACCAATGTCAGAGGCCACACCGGAGTATGCTGTAGTGACTTCTGCACCACCGACTTCCACTCCCCCTACACCGCCTCTAAGGCACTCTGCATCACGTTTTGCTACATCTTTAGGCTCAGCTTTCCACCCCGTTCTCCCCCATTATGCTACAGTTCCTCGTCCACTGAACAAAAGTTCTCGGCCTCCTTCTCCTGTCAATGCCCCGGCGACTTTGCCTCCAAATACAAAGCCTGTTGCCTGGTCCGCGCCCAGTTTTGCCCCCCTTCCCCCGTCTCCTCCAGTAATGATAAGCAGTCCACCAGGCAAAGCTACTGGTCCGAGACCTGTCCTCCCAGTGTCGGCTTCTAATCCAGTGACCCAAATGTCCACGTCTCCCACGGCTCCTAACGGGCTTCCTGAAAACCTGGCTTATCCGGTTCCTTCACCTTCTACCTCAGGTCCAACTCCGCCTCCGCCACCTCCTCCCCCCCCACTGCCTTCCTTTCCGCCTCTGTCACTGTCTGGACCTCAAGCTTCTCCTTCTCCCAACTCCCCGAATGCCTCGACTCCCTCATCCAAGCCTAGTGTTCTCCCTTCTCCCTCTGCAGCTACCCCTGCCTCTGTTGAGAACTCTCTAAACTCTGTGCTGGGAGACTCCTCTGCTTCTGAGCCAGTCTTGCAGGCAGCCTCTCAGCCGATTGAACCTACGACCCAGCAGGGTAAGGCTTTCTGTTATTGCTACTAATGCACTAATCAGGAATGCAGTCGAAACCAATTGGTATCAAAGCCCGTAACTGCCCCAAAGAATTAATACAATGCTTCCAAAGTTGCAGTGATCTTAATACCACAATGAAATACCGTTTGGAAAACTGGGGTAAGGGAAACTTTAAAGCTCCACGGAGAAGAGCCGGCATTCTGTGGCCTGTCATAAGTAAAATTCTGATTTCTTAAGCTCTTACCTGTCGAGAACAGAGCTTGTCGAATACTTGCTTGGTAAATCTTGCACTGTTAGTTCATTTGGAACATGGTCTTAACAGGCAGCGTCATTAGTTTCCTAATGGCAGCCAGCATGGAAGAACGTATGTGCGGCTTTGGACATGTGAATGACCTTAAGCGAGGAATAATCTGAACAACTTTGATACTCTATGTAGTTTCAAATTTAGAAAGTAGTATGTAACACCTACAGCATTTCTTTCTGGACAGAGGTTGTATTTTGATATATGGCTGTATGCGTACGTGTGTGTGTGTGTATATATATGTATATATAAAGACAGGTCTTCCTGTGGTATTCTACCAGCGTAGCTAAAAAAATTTTAGTTAAGCAGGTGACAGTCTTAATGGACACTTTACCAATATGACAGAAATGTATTTCACATAGATGTAAATGTTAAGCTGAATCCTGCTTTTATATTGATTTAATAGATTTAGGTCTTTGTACATAAGTCTGTAGTAGCTCAGCTAAAGGGGTGGGCAGAGGGGCTCCTAGGGGATGAGTAGACTGTGGCTTCATCAGTACAAGCCATGCAGAGTAGATCCTGGTTATACCATACTCTTGTCTTAAATGAAGGCGTAAGCTACTCTGCGATGGGGTGGAAATAGGGTGAATGGCCTCACTTGTAGTATGGAATAAAAGCATGCACTTGGATGGTAAGTGACGCCAAGAGAGTTTAAAAGGCTTTTAAATTTACACAGTGGTTAGCAGAGTAGGACGCCAGGAAGACACGTGTGTGAGATTCCTGCCTGTAGAGGTTGCTTAAGGTGGTTGTGGAGCATTTTTAGTAGCTTATGGCAGCTTGGGCGAGGCAGGGGGAGGATGTGTGGGGCTGTTTCCTTAGTCACAGTTTCTTAAACTGTTCCTATAATAATAACACAGTAATCGCCAGAATATTCTTTCTTCAAAACACATTTTGTATTGCATATTTATGTGAATTTAAAGCATTAAAGATAGGTAGATAAAAAAGGAAGAGCATGTTCCCATCAGCTTAAAATACGTCAGTCTTCTAACTCACTAATTAGTGTTTGTATTAAAGTTGATTCCTGGAATGTTTTTTAGAGGAAAAAAGATTTTTAATGCAGCTTAGAAATCAGCGTTGGAACTCAAACAGTTCAAGGGTTCAGAGGTTTGGGCAGTCTGTTAAATGCTTGTTAGTACAACGAGAAGTCTCCCTGCGTTTAGCACCATTTGGATGAACAGTATTGTTCCTACGTGGTCTGGTGCTCGTGCCTTGCTTGACTTTTTATAAAAGCTTTTGCCTGTTTCCCAGTGTAATATTCTTCTTGGTTGCAGCACAGAACCTGACTGGAGGGGTTTTGTATGTAAAAGTCTCTGAAACTGTCTGATCTCTTATAGCATACTATGTAATATTTTTAGTGCGTTTCATAAGAATGCTTCTCTCCTG